TTGTTAATTTTGGTGATTTTTATTCATGTATGTACATAATACTCATTAGTTCAGATACTTACCTTAACTTTGCATTATTTTGGGAAAGCGGTGAAGCACAACTTTTGCTTGTGAAATAGTTTCGTTTGTCATGAATCCTAACACATCATCCTGTATATAACCACCAGATATAGAGATGTATCAAGAACTGCACGCTTTAAAATCTGGCGTGATGCAGATATAAGTTCCTGTGCTGCTACCAGGTGTCTTTGAATTAATCAACAGTGTCTGTGGTTGATGTAGTGCAAATGTTTTTAAACGTTTGTGGTTGGATAAGTAGCTAAGATGATAATTTTTTGATTGTATATTACAGGATTCTGCAGTAGCAATGAAGGCTTTGGTTGAGTATACAGTGAGGCAGCGAATTCGTGATGTGTCGTCCTTGTCTGTGACTGTGGAAGCCACGTCACTTCAAGGTCATGTCAGGAATCTATATGTCAATGAGAAGAATCTTGCCCAGCTCCAGAGAATAGAGGTACTTGTGCAAAATATCTTCAACGTAGAGTATTTTGTGTCTTGAAAAGTGCATTGTTAACTTTTAATGTTCGTGGGACAACATTTGTCCAGCCACAGATATTCAGGGCCGAATCATGTCCGATGTTCATTATTTCACTGGAACATTCATGATTTTCTTTGCAAATGGTTTTGGCCTTATTGATTAGACTGTGTAACATTCATCTCTTTACATGATGAAGATGGTTAGATTCCAATGTATTTTGCAGATTCCTGAGGCATGGGGCACTGTAAAGGTACAGGCCAAAGGAGCTGGCTATGCCATTCTACAGATGTCAGTGCAGTACAATGTGGACATCGGCAAGTTCCAGACAGAACCACCAGTGCGAGCTTTCTCACTGTACACACGAGCCGACTTTCATGGCAGGAATCAGTCTCACATCACATATCACTGCTGCCAGAGGTAATGCAGCCAGGTTTATCCTGAACATGAATTAGATGGATGAGAAATTTATTATTTTTTGTCAGTAAACCTAAAAGCAAAATTTATATTTTATCTCATTTTGTGTTAGCGATAAAGTTGATATGTTCCTGTAAGGATAGGACGTAGAATATGGGTGTTTGAGAACAGCGTACTCGAGAGAATATTTGTACCTAAGAGAGTAAAAGTGACAGAGATTGGAGAAAACTGCATGGTGGGACACTTTGTAATTTGTTCTGCCTGTCTGTTAGAGTGGGGTCCGCAGTGGCTG